TAATATTAAATAGTCAATCCTACCTTACTGTAGTTTGAAGTAACAATCACAACAATCTTAGATGAAGCGTTGTAATTACTCGAGTGCAATGGTATGCACCTTGACTCAATGGAACTCTATCACGTATGATTTCTGTTCGTCTCCACGTAACGTTTTCTAAAACTTCTTCACGCTTGAACCACGGATTATGTTTACATTCCTCTAATTGCCATCCCGCTTACTCTTAACTTGTTATATTTAGAAGCTTCCTAATTTGCATCTTTCTTTCACGCTTCACTTCTTGGTTGGAAAAGAGTTGCCATTAATTCAGGCCCTAAAGAACCCAAAGGACATGTTAAAGAAAAGCCCGTCACAGACTGAGTTTCAAAATGATGAAGTCTGTCGCCAAAATCCTTTGTGCTGTTTCAGTGTGCGATGTTAATAAATACTTACTCACGCAGTACATGTAATAAAGCCAAAATTGCTTCAAAACTGAAATTAGGACCCGGGGATTCCTCCTTTCTTGTGTGCGCTTCTGCATTCAGATTACGTTATATTGATGCCATGCAGTTTTTCTCAAATAGAATTGCTAATTCTTGAAAACCACTGTAGCAATGCGAAGTGAAAAAATACTTGGAATATATGGAAACAGTGGTTTCCCGTCCAACAAAGTCTTTGTCTTAATAGTTTGAAAAGTGAACATCCAATCAATGAATTGGAAATTTATTGAAAATAATAGGGGAGGTGCAAGAGAGGAGATATTTTTGCAAAATCAAATCATAATATTCTTCATATGAATGAAGATCGCTCAAATATTTCCTGGCAACCAATAATGTAACATTTAAGATAAGCAGGTGTGGACTTGGAGTAAAAATAAAATTATCCGGTTTCTGTTAGGCTGTGCATTTTTCATATTTACAAAGGATTTTATTGAAACTAATGGGAATATCCTTCCCTATTTCTATCAAATAGTGAAAACTTGACATAAACATGAAAATGAACATCGGCTCTTAGTTAATTCCTCACATAATTAAAATTGAATTAATTAAAATAAATGCATTTTTTAAATAGCTTATTCTTATGTTCTTTGATATTTGTGTGTGTAGCGTTATTTCAACAAAAAGATCAAATCAAGATTAATTTAGGTAAGTATTAAAAATCGATATCATTCTATGCTTTATCGCATTTTTGAAGGCTGATTTTAATAATACGAATCTAAATCTGATTTTAATAATTTTAATTATGGCATATATCTATATTTCTGGATATTTTACTTTTTCTTGATCAATCTATTGTGATTTAAGAGTTTTTAAAGAATGTTATTTTCGATAATTTCTCTTCAAAATCATGATACTTGAAAAACAATGCAGAACTTAAATGCTTCAAATCTACACTACCTACTATTCAAAATGCAACACCAAGGAATGAAAGCAGAAAATTATGCAAATTTCAGGGTCTCATTGATCATGTAAATGATGTGAAATGGGCTGAGAATGGACAATATAATAGAACAAATGTAATAGCTGAGGCTAGTCAACAGACGAAGGATGAATCTTATAATCCACAGTGGCAAAGATTGTTGAAACAGAAAAATGTACAAGTGGTGGCGGGGATGGACTCGTACATCGATGAGTGGGTCCTATGATAAACGCCGCGTGTCGTGCTGATCGTGCGACAGTGTAGCATCATGGTTTGGAACGCGTACAATATGTCTCCTCTGGTTCGTATTCAGAGCAGTATCTTGGTCTAACGAAACATAAATTATATGCTCCGGGTCACTGGCGTAGATAGTTCTGAGTGGTTCGTTCAGTGCCCTTTTTTGGATATAACAGGCCTGTTAGTAGAACTGTAGGTACACATGCTGTAGCTGGGGGGAGCAATGATACTCGACTTCTTTTGGGGAGGGCAAGAAATGACCCAGTTAGTTCCCTTAACCACCACGATAACTGCATGATCAGCCAACATTGATATTTTAACAATCGAACACGTTTGCGACGCCGCCTTTTAAGTCCTGCCGCGTGTAAGAGATGAACTGCGGCAAATGGATGAAAAGCCATCCGCACTCTCTTGGCTTCTATACCTAGACGCAGTGGCGCACACAAGGGGGAAGGGGCCGGATCCCCCCAAAGCCCTTGATTTTTTTTCCGATTGATTATAATTCTAAGTACATAGTACGTAAAATTTAATTATTTGTTATTAATGATTAATTTTATTGATTAATGCTAATTATTTATTCAATAATTAGTTTTTTTACTGTGTTTTGTTCCCGAAAATCGACAAAATCAAAGGAGCATGATACAAGAATGGTGAACTTTAAACCCCGAACCCCCTTGATAAATTCCTGTGTGCACCACTGCCTAGACGTGTTACTTTGTGTACCGCTGTGTCCACGGTGATTCTTCAACCCACTCAACTGACCTTGTTACGGGATCATTTCCTTTTATTGTTCATAAACATCTTTTATTGTCCGTTGGTGTCTCTCTTTGTCCAGTAGTTTCACTTACTGACCACACCTTCCTGACGGTAAATTTTCAATAGCGTGAATCTCTCTCTCTATTTATTGACTACAAATTTCGAATTTAAAGTCGGAAAAAATGGCCTCTTTTTTTACTTGTAATATATTTTTAAAGTGACAATTGTTACACAGTTATTGGCTGGCTGGGAATAGGACATAAAATGTGAGCCTGAGTGGCGAAGCGGAATAGCTAATCACTTTTTTTAAACTTTTTTTTTCATAGAGACTAAATCTTATAATATGCTGAAGATTGATGCTTTAATGGCAATGTTTTATAAATCAAGTGATGTTTCAGAGACTTAAAGATTGAAAGGTAATTGTTGTTTATATTCTATTGTAATTATTATTAATAATAATTTTGTAAAATAATTTTTTTTATCAAAAGGAACATGTTAGGGATTGTCAAAAGTAATTGACTGGACTTTTAAATTGACTAGAATTCAAAAATATGAAATCTTAATACATAAAAGCTATCTTAAATCGTGATCAATGGAATCTGTTTCTTCAAACAATAGTTTGAATAAGAATTGAATATTTTATCAGAATAATTCTCACAATTGTAAGAAAAAGGGCAGTATATTATTGTTGAAAGTATAAAAATAAAGATTATACTTCAAAAGTTCGAAGAAAACTATTTTATTTAAATGAGATATGATTTTAAAATTTTTATTTATAGCAGTTTTTAATCATTACTATTCGCAGATGTAAAGTATAACTTATGTAAAGAAAAAAAAGCTTGCTATAAACTTGGAGTGATAAAATAGTACAAAGTTATCTTAAGGTATCCGACTAGGTTCGGAGATAAATTTTACAAAAATTGATTTTCTGAATAGTTTTATTGTTTTAAAGAACATAAATAGGCCTAAAAAGTCATAACTATTAAATAACTAACATGTATCGCCCATTTTTGAAAAAAAAAATTATTTTTAGGAAAATTTAGCAAAATTTTTAAGGTATGAAAAACGGGATAAAAATAAAAATAAATTGCACACTATGCAATCTTAACGTCATTGATATACGTTTTGATCCCTCTGAAGTATCGCAAATCGCAGGATTAGAGAGCATTTTTTTTTTAATTTGATGGTCATGATTTTTCGTCCAAATTTCTCCACGTTCTAAGCTAAAAATGGCTGTAAAATGTGTCTTAAAACCTGCGGTTTGTTACTCTGTGAAATTTCATTGCATTGGAATGGATTATTTAGAAGATAGCCCGTTTGTCGTGAAGAAATTATGAAAAGTTCATTTTTCAAAAAATGAATTAAAAAAAATATTTTTATTAGTTAAAGTAAATGCTATAAAGAGAACTTAAAAAACTTTCCAGTTTTATGTATTAGTCCTTCTTCCTCAATAATTAATTCTATCCGACTCAAAGTTCCACTCAAAGTAATCCATACGATGGATCATTTATTATAACATAAAGGGTGTTTTTTTGAGAGGTATAGAACTTTAAATTGCAATAAAACAACGATGTATTATTCGATTGACATGAATTTTTTTTATTCGAAAGATAATCTTGTGGCATTACATTTTAAATATGATCAAGCAAGGCGTAGATTCGTCGAATGGGCTCAAAACGAGATTGCCGTTGTTCCCGATTTTCATAAGCGAATTTTGTTTAGCGATGAAGCGCACTTCTGGTTGAATGGCTACGTCAACAAACAAAACTACAGCATTTGGAGTGAAGCTAATCCACAAGTGTATGTCGAAACACCGTTACATCCAGAAAAACTGACTGTTTGGTGCGCTTTATGGGCTGGTGGAATCCTTCTTCAAAAACGATGAAGGCCACAACGTTACAGTCAATGGTGATCGGTATAGAACCATGATTACTAACTTTTTCATTCCTGAATTGAACAATCATGATGTCCAGGAGCTCTGGTTCCAACAAGACGGCGCAACATGTCACACAGCTCGTGCCACAATCGATTTATTGAAAGACACGTTTGGTGATCGCCTAATTTCACGTTTTGGACCTGTGAATTGGCCTCCAAGATCTTGTGATTTAACACCGCTAGACTATTTTCTGTGGGGCTATGTAAAGTCATTGGTCTATGCGGATAAGCCACAAACACTTGACCATTTGGAAGACAACATTCGTCGTGTTATTGCCGATATACGGCCACAAATGTTGGAAAAAGTCATCGAAAATTGGACGTCCAGATTGGACTACATCCGAGCCAGCCGTGGCAGTCATATGCCAGAAATCATATTTAAAATGTAATGCCACAAGATTATCTTTCGAATAAAAAAAATTCATGTCAATCGAATAATACAACGTTGTTTTATTGCAATTTAAAGTTCTATACCTCTAAAAAAAAACACCCATTACATATAACAGAATCACAATATTAAGTGGCAAAATAGAAAGCGATTTTCTCTCTATTTTCCTTTCTATGTAGGGTGTTGGGCTATTATTTGTTTCTTACTATTTATTCATTCATTAAATTGTATTATTCCAATAAAATAATATAGTAAAAAGAAAAGAAATTTTCAGAAATTAGATGGATTCTCCCAGTTGGGATTCCAACCCACGACCTTTGGATTAGAAGTCCAACGCGCTACCCATTGCGCTACAAGGACGCAAAAAGCGACTTTTCTTTTTAAATAGGGTGTTGGACTTTATTTTTGTTTCTTACTTATTCAAAAATTAATGAATTAATATTTGAAAAAAACTGTATTAACATCAAGTGGCATCCTCTACAAATTTAAAAAATGTGTTTGAGTTTGAATGGATTAATAGAAAGTATATATTTTATTAACGATTGAAAATTTGAACAGGATATATAAATATATATATATATATATATATATATATATATATATATATATATATATATATATATATATATATAGGGATTAGAGAGTGTGAACTAATAGTAGGAATTGAAAAAGACTTATCCCAAACCAATATTGCAATGTAACAATCCTTTTTACACAAGCAATTGAGATGTCAAAAGGATCTCATCCTCACTCTCGTAACCGGTTTGGAGCCCATGGGCTGTAGGAAAATTAATTGGATAAACGTTTCGCTTGGGAGACAGAACATGTGTTTCAAAAAAGGATTTGAGATTGTTACAAAATTATTTCCGTTTATCTTTCAACAAATAATGTGAAGAAGTTGTAAATAAAAACGAAACCGTTGTGTGACCCAGTGAGCGATCTTCCCATTGAATGCCATTAGGATAAATCGGCTGTTAATGCAGTCACTGAATCCACCGTTTATCGCAATACTCCGCTGATTTCTTTCAGCTGAGAGAGCACAGCGGAACAAATTCCAAAAACAATTCCTTCTCGTGTTTTCATGTTGAGAGTTTTCTCACTTGAGACTCCCTTCCTTCTCCAGCCCATTCAAATATTTTTCGAAATGGACTTTTCAGATAATTCCAATTTTTCACAAGTACTTGATCATGTTTGAAAAGGGGACGTTAATGAATAATCCATCAATCCAAAGTTTTCAAAGATCATTGCATTCAAAAGTGGAACGAAACAAAACGGAATATTAAAAATGTGCATTCATTTCGAGAAAATTTGCCTCTGCTATTATTGCTCTGTATTTATGAAGCGACAATCATTTAAAAAACACAACTAATGGGAAATCATTATTATTTTTATTATCTTTATTAAAGGTATTCACTGGCAACTTTTTTCCTCGGAATGCAGTTTTCAATTTAAATGACTTTTATAGTCAAACCATAAGAAATTACGACTGTTTTGAGTCAATAGATAGAGCTACCTTTTAAAAAAAAAAGAGAAGAATCTAACTGATATATATAGTGTTCATTAATTATAAATATCCAAAAGCCCTATAATAGAAGAAAAATAAATACGATGATATTTTGAAGACAATTTTTATTGGAAAATTGTTTTTCCCAAGAAAATTAATAAAATCTATATGCATGCTTTTTTTTCTTTTATTTTGCATTCATTTTTATTCTATCTCACAACAGCCAGAAATTTATTTTGGAGTTGTCCTATCGCAGCTTATACTATTGTGGTCAATTCTCGTGTGTAAAAAGGGGCATATATATGTATATATATTTGGGGGATCCGGACCCATAGGACCCCCTCCCTTGTGTGTGCCACTGATATACCCCCTTACATATCTCTTAAACTAATTCTCTTAATTCAAACTTATCCAACTTCGTGGAATTGCTACGAATCGAGTTGTAGTGGCATTGAAGGAAATCTGACGAGACTTCCCTATCAAAATATCCCATATTCATCTTTCAGATTCAACAAAGCTTTTCTTTCTGAACAATTTGAATTGAATCATTTTATTGATTATCTATTCTATTATTCCATTCTGATCAAGCATTGAATAAAATGATTTATTTGAATCTGTCATGAAGTCACAAATCGGAGAGTTCGCATCTTTTAATCGAGGGTCGCTTCAGATTAAAACTCTACAATACCTTCGTTCATGGGGAAATATCCGGAGAAAAAGTGAAAAAATGTTTATTCAGTAAGAGCTTCTCAGGTTTGTATCTTCCAACCCATCTGAGGGCCCCCTTGAGTATTCAGTGAAGGAGTGAGTGAATATTAACGTCGCACTGTTCAGATACACGAGGACTTTGGGCGGCGGACCACGTCATTTTCAACCATGGTCAAGAGACATGGACGACACCTGAGCTTACCATTTTTATATTCAGTAGGATATACAGTAATTATTCAATGAATAATTTGATTTACGGAAAAAGCTGAAAAATACGTGGAGTCGCTTTTTTCTCACGATCAAATCTAACATTGTGTGTGTGCTAAGATTGAATTTGAAAGCCCTTGTTATAATTTCTATGGGATGACTTTTGTGTCGGCGAGTGCATTGATTTCCCAAGGTTCAAGGCAAACCTCCTTCAAAGATTCCGATCCCTACAGAAGAGTTCTACAACTCGTTACACACGTGATTCGTGCTCGATTATCGATTTCATGTTCGGAGATTTCTTCCAGACAACTCTCGCATAACATTATACGTTTTGTTTCTCCTTTCCATTGCATATTTTTATTGCGAAAAAGGCCTCGCAAATCTTAAGAATCCAATAAAAATCACCAAGCGTGCCTATCAGGCTTCACGCACGGCCCGCGCTGATAACCTTTGACCCTCGTGTTTGTGGTGGGGGGAGGGCGTGCATTGCATTAGGAACACGTTTGAACTTCATACGCGAGATAACTACTTGGAAAGCATTCAACCAAGTGGAACTTGATTTCCGGCAGGAACGCCACATTTGGCGCACTGCTGAGCTGAGAAAAGACCCATAAATGTTGTTTTAAGACTCGAATCCTTAGGGAGGGAAAAAAGTCAGTTGCACGCTGAGAGTCTGACAAATGACTCTTTCTTAAAGGAGATTTCTCCTACAAACCCTAAGCAAACATGACCTTACCATTTTAAGAGGTCTTTTCCGATGAAATGTATTCCAAAAGGATTTTTTTAGCATTCCTTTATAATACGACTCGTTTTTTTTGTTAAAAAAAAGTAATAGTTTCTTAAAGGGGGAGAGGAGGTGATTCTACTGCCATGTAAAGTTTCTTCCATTGGAAGGATGGGCCAACTCAGATATCGTGGTCCATCGCCAATATCTAGTTAATAAGGTTAGAATTCCTATTTATAATGAGCATCACTAGGGCAGATATTTACCAAATTCGAATGAATTTTTCCCCATATTTTCTTGATCGGTGTTTCTTTTACATACCTTTGAAACTATGTAATGCATGTTGAAGCAATTTTTTAAAAAAAACTTTGCCATTTCTTGTAAAAAAAAAATATTTTGATCAATAAGAATTGAGCGCTCGAGAAATCAGTGAGTGAGAGTTATACTGTAAAGCAAAACGAGGGCTATTGGAGACAGGCCTCCTAATTTTTCAACCTCAACCCCCCTCTCCTAACTTTCATGCCGATAGGAGGACATTGACAGGGCTGCTTGTTGGATACCCCTGGTATAGCTGTTCTTAAGTTGTGATCCGGAGACCCCCGGGGGTCCCCAGCGCCTTTTTAAGGGATTCGTGAATGTTTCTCATTTAATGTTAAGATGTCCCTTTGTTAAAGGCGTGGAAAACTTGAAAGATATGCCAACCCAGACTAAATCACTAAATTGAAAACACGCTACTGGAACATGTAATAGAACAGCTGACAGAAATTTCCCAGATGAGGCTTTGACCTTGGCTTACTAGAATAAGTCCTTTCCAAACTTTGGTGGTCAATTACAGGACACTTTTTCCGAGTTCAAAAACCTTAAGAGTTATAATGCCTTTTAAAACTGCTTATTTATGTGAAACATTTTCAGTTCTTTATCTTTAAAGTAAATACAGAATCACCTTGAAAAGCTGACAAATTTCAAATATTACATCTGTTAAAATAGCACTTGTGCACAAATGCAGTACCATTTTTCCCACTAAAAAGTTTAATTTATACAATTATTTATTTAAAATTAGTATTTTGTAATATTTTTTAATTAGAGGTTTATAGATTACTTAAAGGAAAGAAAAGAAGCATTAAAAATGCATACAAGTAGCAGAAGCAGTCTTTGGATTCTTGAGAAACCTTTCAATCCCTAAGCCATATGTCAGGGAGGGTTGTTCCAAATCTTGGGGCGCCGTGATGTCAGGCTGATACATGGAGGGGCGATTGAAAGCTTAAGAATCACTACTAGAGTATATTTTTGGATGATACTTTCTTGTGTTTTTAAGAAATTTTACTTTATCTTCGAGATTGGACAGAGTTGTTCATCTTATTTTACGTGTACAGTACAAATACGTACATTAAAATTTGTTGCTTAAGTATTACCCATGTAAGTTCCTTTTCTTATTCCTATTCCTTTTCAGAAAGGGGAGCAAGATGAAACATTTCGAAAAATGGATCGGGTAAAAGAACATAAAGAAATAGCAAACTTGAATTCGAAAATATAAATTCATTTTTTGCGTCTTTCTATTGAATGCTTTTTTAGTTTCGATTCGAATATTTCTCTAAATGCACTGATTATATATACCCAGCTCATTTTAACACGAGTTTGAAATAACAAATTAAACGATTATTTTTTTCTTTTTCTTTCACGAATTTTTTGTTCTAGCATGCGGGAATCCTAAAAATTTTGGGGGATTTGTGACCTTTAGATGAGGACGATCGGTTCAAATTTGATACGGTTTATAATTATAAAGAAGTCGATCCAAACGAAATCAAAGGTGAAGTTCATCTGATTTAATTCGCAAAGGCTTGAAATCTGCTACAAGTATACAACGACATTTTCTTACTCATGATCCTGACATAGAGCATGCATAAAAATTTGAATGCGTTATTTTAAGTTTTGCGTTGCGGAATATCAAGAAACTTTAGACCCCTCCCTCCCCAAAAAAAGCTGCTGCTAATAACAAACTTTGTAATAACATCAAAAAACTATCTGAGGCCGTTAATAACGAACGAAATTCATTTGAATCCAAACCGACAGTTGTGCTAGACAAATACGCACATCTAGTGATGATAGCATTTATATGATCCGGTTCGTAATAAACATGCACTCTTTTGTTATCGAGTAGCGATGAATAGTTGTTAGCTATATTCCTAATTTCTATTTGAATTTTTACGTCATTTATG